TGATATTTGTCTTATTATAAGAAATAAAGAATCAAAGAGGCTCAGAAGAGGTTTTGATCTTAAAGAGTTTATGTTTGTGCGCACTGGTTTTGTACCGAGTGACTTTTACGCACGGTCTTCCCAGTGCGCAGGGCCAAACGCCAACGCACCCAAAGAATGGGGACCCAAAATAAATAAACAAATAAACTCACCTGAAGATCCTCCAGGCCGTGGTGTCCCAGGTGCATCCCGAGAGGACCATCCCCGAGAGCGGCAGCACCTTCCCCGAGACCGTGCAGCAGTCGAGGGACAGCTGCGTACTCCCGCCGGGGGTCGAGGCTCAGAGCCCGGTGTGACTGTGACAGGAGTCCCCCCTCGTCGGAGCGCGACCTCTGCGAGTGCCATGCCGCTTGCTGATGCTGATGGATGGAATTGATGGAGGGATAGGGGTCTGACAGGTGGGAATACGAGTCCTGGCTCTGGGAGTAGGGAGGGAGGGAGGACTGGGGATAAGGGGGAGGGAAGTAGGGAGGCTGGAAGTCCGAGGCCGGAGTGTGGCAGAGCGGGGGAGCCGAGGAGTAGGCGGCCTGGTTCAGGGAGGACAGCTGGGAGAGGCGCCCACTCGGCGAAGAGCCGCTTAGTCCGTCTGCGCGGTCCTGCAGAAAATGAATAAGTTTTCTTCATATCAGGAGCTCAAACACCTCATCAGCCTGTAGAGGTGCAAACCCGGACTCACTATTGCACCAAATGTCAGATTCCAAAAGTTTTGAGCTCCGGGAAATGTTTTTTTTTTTTTTTTTTTAACTGAGCCATAAATCGCAAAGGCTGAATTTGTCTACAGAAAAAGTCACAAAAAACGCAAACTTAATAAAATATAAAAACGATTTTAGTTTAACACAAAACAGAAATAAAGCATAAATAAATGTATTTCCATTTTTATTACATGGTTGGAAATAGCAGCAGCGCTTGAAGTGATGCGCACTGGCAGAAGACGCCCTTGGCATCGCTGCTGAACAGTGTCAGAAAGGTCACGGCCACCAAGAAGCTGCACAAAGGACAGGTAATGCACAACAACAACATTCTGCTCTGTGTGAGGGGGGGTTACATCTGTAAATAATCTGTCACCGTGTCAACAAAACTACATTGACCCCCGCAACTGAAAATGAAAGGAGAAAAAAAAGATTCATTCAGGCTGAGAAGGCGCAGAAAACCCCAATGAGATTTTATTTTGACTTTACAACTTTAACCCCTCATGTAAAAGAAACGCCAGCATGCAGCAGTTTAAAAAAAACCATATAGTCCACTAGCCTACATTCCTGCTCACACACATCCTGGTAAAATTGGATTTTTGCAAAGCTGGGTCACCCAGATCAATGTTGTTGTGGTGGAACAATGTCCATTATGTGCCAGCCAGAGAGGCCCGCTGCCAGGTTAAAAGCACACACACACACACACACACACACACACACACACACACACACACACACACATATATATATATCTGTCACACATCAACCACAGTGCAGGACTGCGCGTTCATCATTTGAGTCTAACAAAGTTGAAATATTTGAAGCTGTGAAACGCTAACAACCACTCCATAAAGACTGACCAGCGTCTGTCTCGGCATGTCACAGTTGTTGCAGTGAGTGGACACTTTACTGTCAGTCAGTCTCACTTGCTGTGACAGTGTGCAGACAAAGCCCTTCTCCGCGGACAGATGCGCGGCGCCGGAACACTAAAACTCAGTGTCAGGAAGGCTCGTTGGGAAGTATGGACCCCTGACACTTAGGAGTTTACCGGAGAGCAAAGATCAAGGCAGATTTACCGGAAAGGCATTTAATTGTCAGCCAAAAAAAAATTCACCAATGTCCTTTATATTCTGCAAGATGACTCTAAAAAGCAACATATCGATTTAATTATAAACATTTTTTTTTCTATAACTCACTCTAAATTATCGTTTTTAAGTGATGATGGCACATTGTTCTTTCAGGTTTAGTCTAATGACACTCGCTACAGAAAATAAACTCTTTCCTAAAATTAAATTACACTAGTAATAAACATACATCAGTAAAACCCAAAAAGCTTAAAACACGAGTCTCTGCCAAACTCACCATAGCCGAATAGGTGTGGATTAACATCTGGACCGCTCTGAATACCCCCAAATGTAAAACTTAACAGGATGCGCAGGCTTCCAACGACTGAAGGATGTCACCAAATGCTCCGAGATGTAATCCAGGCTCGTTTAACGGTCCATTAAACTCAAAGGTGTTATTTACTTTTCCTTTATCTCTCTGTTCGACGGAGCTCTTAACGCACAGATGAAAAAAAAAGCTGCTGCCAGATACACACACGCGCGCACAACACACACGGAGTCCTTCCAGTCTCTCCATGAGCGCACTACTTATAGGTTTTGCGCGCACCCGGCAGAATGAGGGGAGGGGTCGACAGGGTCCACTTCTCTTAAAGAGATATATTCATTCAATTACCGGCTGTTAATTCACACACACACACACACACACACCACACACACACACACGCTCTACTTTTACATTTATTTTTATTGTTTTTATCTGAGAAAATGGCACAGAATCATATTTTGGATTTTACGCACAGAGAGACACTAAAAAATACCAGAGTTAAAGTACAATAATGCGTTTATATAAGAAGCATCTCAATAAAAATCACATTCAAACAAGAAAATCTTATTGTCTGATTGTTTTTACGGTCTAAGTTAAGACACCAGCTGCTTTTACGCACGGATATCCAGGTTCCTCCAGTCAAGAATCTTGCTGTTTATCGGCTTTAAACTTCAAATGATATATTTTTTCCCCAAACATTTCACCCACACTGACTCGGTCAAACGTTTAAAAATCGACAAGTTAATTTTAAGTATTCGGCTTTTCTTAAAAACAAGCCAACAGGCCCATCGTGTGCAGGCTTTTACGCAATAATGATGCACTTTAAGCAGACCTACTGTAAATCTGAAGGTGAAAAAAAGATGCACCAACGAACTCTTTTTACCTGCAACCCGTCAGCCTTGGACCGGGATTTCCAGAGCATGGTGGTGCTGGTGGTGCTGGTGGTGCTGGTGGCTCTCAGGCTGGGTGTCAAGCTGCAGCTGAGGGGTTAATGTGACGCGGTGGATGGAGAGGAGACGGGCTGAAGGTAGAGAGAGGAGTGAGTTAGTTTGAGAGACGATGCAGGAGTTTGTATGGATGGGTGCTGGGGAGGGGGTAGTCGGGTAGGGGGGGAAAAAGAGGAGGGCGGGAGGTGACAGGAGTCGAGGATGGGGTGGATAAAACTTTTTTTCACGGTCTGAGCGTGGAGTATAGATCCAGGGGTGAAGAGGTGAATAAGAATAAAAATGTCTGGCTGTGGATTTTCTTCCTTTGAATGATTGCAGCAATTTCATGGTGCTTTTTTTTAGTTTAAATTTGTGTCATTAGAAAAATACTCTAAGTTAAGAGAATAATACATGTATCCAAATATCTACAAATATGAGCCTACATTTAATATTTTATTACTTTATATCACTTGTCTCCTTATTGTTGCTCTTTAACGGAAGCACTGGATTAATAACAAAAATTGGGGTCAATCTGCATTTCTTTATTCCTTGATCATTCCCAAATATTTATTTCCTTAAAATAATCAACTTAGTTATTTTCCTAAATTAGTGCCATGGAGCAGAATTAAGTTTTCCATTCAGGTCTCTCTCTGCAAATGTAGAGGTAAAGATAGAGGTAGAGTGTGTTATCAAGAACTTCAAGCCACATTAGAGCCAAAAAAGTCTCAGTGCGCCATCTTGTGGTACTTTATAGAAAAGAGGACTCTTGATTTAACTATAGGAAGTTTTCCTTTTCTACAGAAACCTACTGTGACATCCTGGTTTGTTAAATTTTGTTAAAAAACACCTGTAGTCTATTTACTCTATTTATATAAAACCAGGTAAATAATACACCAGAATAGCAGACTTGTTTTTTGTCAACTGGGGACTTCTTACTTCTAAACAAAGACATTCAAATCACAAGTTTAGTTGTCATAAAATCCCAGAACAATTAAAAATTAAGACAACTAACTGAAGTTTAATTGCTTCCCAGCTTGAATATGTAATCATCACACCTTCGCCCTGAAAGGAATTAGTTTCATGTTTTAATGGTCAGCATGACTTACAAATTCCATAAAAAAAAGAAACCTGCTTTAATCTGTTTAATACTTTTTGACTTCCCCAATCTCTTTAGCTTTAAGCCTTGGGGCCCATTTGTTCCAACTGAAGACGTAAATCTTTAGAAAAATAAACTTGAGACTTGACTAGGACTCAATAAGACTTATAATGTATGAGATAATAAGGTAATGCGTTTCAGAAGCATTTTGTGATATATTTGTTGAAATTCTTGTTACATCCCGACAGCAATCAATGAATCAAAAGCTCTGAAAAGGACAAAACAAAAACTGGTATCCTAAGCTGTCACAAGCCTGCAGAAAGCCCAGCCAATCATTTTATACCGACCTGTCCTCCACGCACTCTGCCTCGGCACTCACTGGAGTCTTCCACAAGACGACCAGGTAGCCAGGTGGAGACAAAACGTAGTTCCACCTGTAACTACAACAGTTTGCATCGCAAAACAAAGCAAGAAAAGACACACAGAAGCAGAAAAAGGCTACAAACAAAAAGCAACAGGTCAAATCAGAGGAGGATTTTCAACGATGGTGAAAACTGGGGGACAGGTATCTGCTTTGATTTGTTTTTTTTGGGGGGGGGGATTGTTCTTTTCCTGAACTATGTTGTATGTAGAACTATGTATGAAAGAGACACTGTATTTATGTGTGCTGGGAATGGCTTTGAAGAGAGGGGCGTGGGATGTTTTAGGTGTTTTGCAAGATTATCCAACATTACCTGTCCAAGCTTTAAAAACAGCTCTGCTTTAGGTTTAAGTGTTCAACTAGTTGGTGGCAAAATACACACGTTCAAAGCTACAAGAAAGAAAACACATGAAAGTAAAAAGGGCAGAAAGAGATTCTGGTTGGTTTTTCTAACAAAATAGCTCTTTATTAAAGGCATTAACATTTCACAATTGACACGTAAGAGACTGCTGGTGCCTTTCCAGAGCACAGCTGTCTGAACATTTACATTGCATTACACCGTTCATAAACAAAATGTGTTTGTGCATCATCATTTTCCGTTCTCTTTTCAATGCGAGCTTATTTGCAAAGATCACTAGACCAACAGAGTCTGGGGCCTTTTTTTTCTTCTCCTCATAAGAAAGTCTGGTAACACATTATTCATGTCAGATTGGTACAGGTAATAAACACACACGTTTGACTTCAGTCGTAGCCCTCCTTTATTTGTTTTCAACTCTGCAAGTTAAAAATACTCCATTAGTAGCAGATAAATATCACTTCACTCCCACTGACTTCTTCAGGTTCCTCATACAGCTCAAAGCTCCTTTATCCTTTCTCATCATGTCTCCAATCTCCAGTTTACAGACCGGGCACTGGTCTGCCATGGCACACAGAGCTTCCTCTAGCGCCCCCTGAGTGTGCAGCTCAGGTAGTGCGCTACACTGACTTAGCGTGGCGAGCATGTGTTTGAGCCAACCTTCCTCTCTGACCAGGGTGGAGATCCAGGGCTGAGCGCGGACGCAGCCTCCCAGAGCCTGCAGACTCAACCTCCAGAGCTCCGCGGCGTCGTCCCAACTCTCCTCCCAGCTGGGGCTCACCTTAACTGGGCCGGGGCTGGAGCCAGAGTCCAGGGCGCTGCGGAGGAACCGGAGAGCTGTGGAGAAGAAGCGCCTCTGGCTGGCTTCGACTGAGCCTGGAAAATAAAAAAAGTATGTGCTGTTAGTATAGTCTAATAGCTTTGAACCAAACCTACCAATAATAGACATGTCTGTGCCTATATTTGTATTTAAAAATGTTATTTAAAAAAAGAAAAAAGAACAATCAGAGTCACATAACTAAACATAACAATAACAGGTCGTAAGAGAGTAACATTTTACAGTCGTAGCTGCATTAATTCAAGCCACTAGAGGGCATAAAAACATTAAACAAGAACAAAACATGCAGGTAAAATGTAGGCAAACAATGGCCTACTTTCCCATCGTGTAGACACAGCAACATTAGATAATACGTGTTACTGAACACCTGATAAATCCAGTATTCACTCTTATTTTAGCTCTATTTTGAATAGCTTCAAACCACTCAGAAATATATCTTGTTCTTTCTCAACAATGATAACCAGCCGCTGTATAAGTTTGTCTATCGATGCAGTACGTCCGTGGGCCAAATTGTGACCCATTTAACAGAGTCCACAGATTGATTAATGCGGGTTTAAATATATTCTGAGACTCAGTCAACACTCAGTAAAAGGTTTTTTAGAGTAACAGCAATGTTTACAGCCCCAATCTGCATCTTGTTTACAGCAGCATTTCTGCCCAACCTGGAGCCCACATGATCTGCATTCCCATAGGCCATTTTCAAAGCAAAGGAAGGAAACGCACAAGGGTAACTAATAACATTAGTAATGGCTGCATTCCATTTAGGTTTGCCAGTTTACTCGCACTAATGCTCATACCAAGTCTATAAATACATGCCTTCAACTAATACAGTAACAAACGGTTGATGTGGACTTACGTGACACCGGGGGAATTAAACTGAACAAAATACTAGACAAATGCACAAAAGGTACAGAAACTAGAGGAATATTCTTTCACTGTATTTGGTAATACAGAAAGATTCAAACATTCTGGGAATAGGTAAGAGTTATAATCAAGAAGATTACTTCAAAACAAATTTTTACTGGACTCTTAAGCTGTTTTTTGTTGGGCTTATATCCAGAGAAACATAATTATAATAATAATTAAAAAAAAGAGAATATAGACCTCAGCCTGTTCTTTGCTAAAAGATAATGTATTGCAATGTTGTGGAAAAAGACAGAGGTGCTTTTTTTGTTGAGTAAATGCAGCAAACTTGTGTTGTATTAAACATACGAATGTAAAAGGCTGTCTCTTAAGGTAATATTGTGGCGCTCTGGTCGAGGGCTTTTTTCACAGAAGACATTTTGACACTACACAGGAGGAAAAAGAGAAATTAATAATGGATGAATTCCATTTAGCTGCTCCTGTTTCAGTGTCCTGGTATTATGAATGTTAGCTCAATGTCTCACTATCACATGGCACATTGAACAGAGCCATTGTTATTGATATTGGGAACGCCTGTGATTTCCCTGCAATGACACGTCAAAATGTCTGCTGTGACAAAAGGCTCATTTACAAGCACTGGAACTTGAAACTTTGTCAACAACGTTTAATATTAATACAAATATGTGCACTTAAACAACGTTTGTAGGTTTGCTGTGTATTTGTAATGTTGCAGCCAGTCTAACACAACTGAACAAAATAAAATAAAAATGGTACAGAGTGTGTGATTAACCAACCTGAAGGAGCTGATTTGAGCCTGCCGATCATTAGTCCCAGTGTGCAGTAATTTGCTGCTAGGACCAGCAGATGAGGTTTATGCACTAAAACAGGGAGTGCTTCACTCAGAAGGGCCTCCAGCGTCTTGAAACACGGGTCCTTTCTAAGCAGAAACAAAGCAGAAAAAAGTTTAAATTCATAAACTGCATGAATGGTGAGATATCTCAGTACTGAAAATACACACTTTGTATTGACTTAAAAACAACATATTGTTAATTTGCAGGCTTCAGATGAGCACTCTGTTTACCAGCTACCTGACTCTCTCCGGCTCTGTGACGGTGAAGTTAAGGAGGGCCGAGCAGGCCGTCTCCATGCTGGGATCCCTGGCCGACGCCACGCCACTTTTCCCCTTGAGGGGGGTCCAGCTCTGAGACAGAAAGTCCACCAGCAGGGCCGGAGTGTCGAGGGTGAGCAGCACCTTCCTGGGACCCTCCTCTGCCGACAGGTGGCACAGAGCCGGGAGGAGATACCTGAAGGGAGGGAGGAGGACGCAAGGGAAGGAGACAAAGAAAGGAAATACTATCAGATGACTGCAGAATCTAAAGAATTAAATATCCATTTATTCTTTCTGATATGTATTGAAACCTTTACCTCAGAGCCTCTTTGCCCGTCCACGGCCCCCTCTCCTCTCTGACGGACATGTCGGCCATCCAATCAGAGAGGCCCTGATCTGTGCTCTCACCCTGCAGGTGGCTCCGGGAGTAGCCGATCAAGAACGGCAGCAGTCCAGTCACTTCCTCCTTCAGACAGGAAGTCTCCTCGGCCAGCCACGAGCACAGAGAGCGGAATGTGGCGAAGATAAAAGGGTCACCATAGCGACTCGGATCGACCTACGAGAACAGGAAGAGGCGAGGAGGAAGAGTGTTGTGGAAAAGTGCTTGGACTGAGCTCTGAGGAGAATTAATGTTTGACAGAAGAACCAATACAGAGCCTCGAACTATTGAAGGAAATCTTCTGTTATATAATAAAAGAATAATACAAAAGTATTTTAACACGTTCCAGGTTCATGAAATGTTTCAAAACCTTCCTGTTATGCCAAAAATATTTCGTTCCAACATCTTTTCCCCTGGCAGTACATCTTTGCTTGTTTTTTTTTTTTTTTTGCCATCCTGATTTGATTGCTGTATTCTCAAATAAAAAAAAGAATCAATAAATGTTACAATAAAAACATTTCATTTGGTGAAACTAGAGAGAATAAGAATTTCCTTCCTTCCTATTAATGAACAGAAATCATGCTTTTTTTTTAGTAGATAAAGCTACAAATAAACAATCACTTTCATTATCAGTGAATCTGAAGATTAATCTCTTGTTTAATTGGTTGATCGTTCTATAAAAACATCAGAGAACAGTGAAAAATATTGATTACAATGTCCTTGTTTTCCCCAATAAACTGTCTAAAACTTAAAAATATTCAGTTTACTATCAAATAAGGAAAGAAAAGCAATAAATTCTGACATTTGAGAGGCTGTAACTGGGGGGTTGTTGACATTTTAGATGAGGAAGAAGACTTAAAATGGCTTTTCTGTCAATCAACTACTTAAACTACCTACTAATTGTTTTAGCTCTATTTCTGAGCTTATTATTTCAACTCCCTAATAATAATAGCTAGTTAACAGACTAGGATTTTACCCTTTACTCTTAAATTTGTTGTTGGGTTTGTACATTTTTAGTACTAGGAAGAATCCTTTGGTGCACAGTGAAATTTCCAGAACCGGCAACAAGTAGCAAGAAGAAGCTTTAGTGTCATCCTCTCACCTGCTGCAGGTGGTACATTAAAGCAGAGAAGGCCTCCTCCAGCACACCGAGGACCTGCCGGCTCTGCTGCAGACTGAGTGTGGAGATGGAGGTCTGAGGAGGAGCAGTGGTCTGTGACACTCCCAGACAGCAGGCCTGCTCTATGGCAGCCTCCATGATTCGGTAACAGCCTGGAAAAAAGAGGACCGGGTTTAAGTAATAAAGGAGGTTTTAATAAAATACTGTTGAGGACACTAAGTTCATGTCTTCAGTACGGTTTCAGGGAATTTTAAATAACCCAAGAATGAGTTTAGAGACTATGATTACACACAAATTATAGTTCTGTAATTGTTATGTTTAGTTATGTCTCTTTCGTTGTTCTTTCCTTTTTTTTAAAAAAAAATACAATTTTAGGTTTGGTCTAAAGATATTAGACTCTACTAACAGCACATACTTCTTTATTTTAGTTTTTAAGCCCGATTCAGATATTTCTTCTAGTCAAAAATTATATGTGATAAATTATATTCCTGGCATTGTGCATGAAGTTTTTTTGTGTGAAGGAAAATATAATTTGTATAAAATATATTGTAACAGTAACATGGAAAAGAACATTTTAAATTTGGTGGCTACTCAAAAATGTCAAGGGGGATTACACTGAGGGACTTGGGACTAAAAGTAACAGATTAATAAACATACACATTTAAATGAACGGTTTCAAAAGAGGGAAGTTATATTTTCATCCATGTGTTTTAAAACACTAATAAAAGTAGTTTTTAGACTTCCACGACAGTTGCTGAACACTAATATAATCAAATCAAACCCAGGAGACAAACAATAAACAAACTAATTAATAATATATTAATATACTATTTTAAATAAGCACACTACCTGTGAGTGTGTGCTGCAGCTCCGGGCTCAGTTCGTTGCCAGGCGGTTCCTCCAAACCCATTCTGACCTCCACACAGGCCCGGTTCACCAGTAGGCAGCAGAACTTTGGCGGTCCCACCAGCTCCCATCCACACAAATCCAGCAGACAAGCACTGAGGACCAGGATCGGCCCGATCTGTCTCGGCGTCAACTTGGCCTGCAACATGGGCCTCAGGACCCCCCACACGCGTGCCACGACTCCCTTCAGCTCCTCACTCTCGGCTGACACTCCTACTGGGGGGAGAAACTGCACCAACTGGGCACACATGTCCAACCTGGTCTGGTCTCTGGCTTGGCAGAAGTCTTTTGAGAGCTTTACCAGCAGAGCGAGGAGTTCTGCAGGCTGTCTACTCCACGCTTTGTCCTTGGTTTTACCTGAGACGAGGCCACCGAGCAAGACGAGCCCCTTCTCGCGGCTGAAAGTCTGGTTTTGTTGCACTGCTTTGCACAGAGCGGGTATGGCCCCCCTGCTCAGCAGCTGGTCAGGACCTCTGGGTAAGGCACACACAGCTGTGAGAACCTGGTAGCAGTCAGCAGCCATGGCCTCGTCGAGCATGGAGGAGGGGGAGGTTTCTTGAGGTGTTGATTCTTTGATTGCTTCACTGCCGTCGTCGCCCTTCTGCTTGCTGGTCTTGTCCTCTCCTGCCGATTTTGCCACACTGGCAGGATTACTTTCTGTGTTTACACTCTCTGTTGATTGGACTTTACAATCTGGCCCATTTTCTCCAGCTTGGTTCTCTTCCCGCGCTGCCTGTTTCTGCTGGCTCACGGGACCATTTGATAAAATGCCCAGCAGGAGCGGGATGGTGGTGAGGAGCTGGGGATGGGAGGCCATGTCTGGGTCTGTGCTCAGGGCGGCCAGCAGAGCCGTGCCCAGCGAAAGGAGCTCGTGTGGGGGTAAGCCCGGGTTGTCATTCCCTCTGACCGCCGTCACCAAAAGCCGAGCTGGAAGGTTGAGCCCCACGGCCTCGAAGATGCGCCTCAAGGTGGGTTTGTCGAGCTGGCTTGCTGGGCACAAGCGAGTTATCTGAAGACAGACAGAGAAAGACACCCACATGTCACAACCCTTCAATATTTTATCTCTACATATACCTATCTTCTATCCTATCCAATATTTGTAAAAGGTATTTTGTTCAGTTTTTGTTGAAACTGGTTTAAAAGAGGTTTATTTTGCTCATTTGCATCAATAAGGCTGGATAAAAGATTATATGTGTTTGAGGCTGATATCTAGTCAACAATCACTAGTTATTCAATTTCCAGTAATGTAAAATAGAAAAAAAGTTACATATCTTTATATTTTAAGACACAAGAAACTGCGATATGCACGATATGGTAAAAACATCACATTGCAAATATTTTGACAGATATTGCGCTTGTGTTATGATTCACTATTATCATGGGAATGACCATTTCTGCATCACAGATTAAATTTTCACTGAAAAAACTATTAAAATCACGACGGTGTTACATTTATTGGGGGGTCTGTACCAAACAAACATGTTTCCTTAAACCTGGAGAACAACATTTAGCATCTCTGCAGTATTATAGTACCTCATTATAATGCTGTTTATCACAAACATTGCAGCTTCTGCAATTTGGATAATATGTGAAACAATTGTGCATTGACTGATCAATTAACTGACTTATTGTTTTGTTCCTGCACTTAAACTTAACAAAACAGGAGCAGAGTCATTCCTGCAACTATCATGCAGATTAAACCTATTTTTTTCCACTTTTAACCCCTCTTCTAATGCAAAGCTGTTGCTTGATGCCAGCCAATACATAACTTAACGTTACATGCATTATTTTTAGGTCAAACAGTTGGTGTACTGACAATATTAAAGCAGAGGATCAGTGGAAACAGTGTGTACTGTGTATCCTTAGTGAGAGACACTTACCAGCAGTAGAGCAGCCAACGTGTGACTGTCATTTTTAGCATGCCTGAGAGCATGAAGACACCTCTCCAACACCTCCGTTTGGGCATCACTCAACCCGCCTCCTGCATCCCCCTCCGAGCCTCCTCCACCTTCTCCTCCTCCCTGCTCCTCTTTCGCAGGAGGCTGACTGCTCACCACCGGCGTAACGTCGGCACTGTCAGCCATTATGACCTTAGTAACTATGTAACCAAGGGAGGAACATTATTATTTTACATGAGGAATTGAAACTCTGACATTCACGGGTCATTAGCTCCCCGCCGCTGATGGAGTAACGTTAGTCTAACTGACTGTCCGTTGGTGTGCGGAGTCATTCTAACGTTCAGTAACGGTCGGCGAGGATTCCACGTTTGAATTTTTTTTTTGAATCAGCAAACGTTCGAAAAAAATAACTTACTTTGACAGCCCCTCTCGCGCGCTGCAACAGCTCGTGAGCACTCTCCGGAAGTGAATTGTGACACACAACGCTGACAGAAGCCAATCAAAACCGTCCAACAATGGCAGGGAACCAATCGCAAGAGGGGTACTTGGAAGGTCGGACACGCCATTTTGGTCCGTGTGGAAACGTCGGAGAGGCGACGCAACGTTATTTTTGAGGTCATGGAAGACATGTTTATTTATTTTTTATTTATTTTTCTCATTTATAGCAGTAATTATATCACATAAATGACAAAAAGTTCAGCAGGTTAACCGTTTTTTTTTTGTGTAGCACGAACCACTTCGCCATTGACAGCTGGTCGGCAGGGGGCGCCTGGCGGAAGTAGCCGGATTAAAGTTGTGAGCCTTCAATTTAAATTAAGACGCATTAAAGGCAACACTAAAATTAAACCCGGTGTCTGTGTAGTAAAAACTTGCAGCCAAATGTGAGTTACTACACATTGCATCCCAGAAGTATCGCCCATTTGAATTAACTGTGCTTCTATCGGCCGCAAAACGCACCAACGGTCGTCGCTACGTACTTTATTTTGAAACTCCAGCCGCCGGAAGCAGTATTCATCACTCTGACTGGCTTGACAGTGGTCACAGAGGCACATCAGCTGTACAGGCGAGAGGAATACTGACCTAATTAAATGTGCTGGAGGAGGACAACAAACACCGACGACACACGGCACCACAGCGACCTGATCGAAGTAAAAAAAAACAAAAAAGACTGAGCCATTTGCTGCAACTGTAAGTCCTGGTGTACACTTTTTGTCTGTCTGTAGTGGTTGTCGTGACAATTACCATTGAAACGCACAGGATGAAGCTCTGTTCCTTCCACGGCGTGAAGTGAAAGCGAGTGTCAGCAGCTGTAAAGCCTCAAGGTGCCTTAAACGGGTCGGGGGTGATCCCTAGATTATACAGGTGAAATACCTTATGGTGTTTGTTTTTTTTTTGTTTTTTTATGTTTCAGTACTGGGATCTGTCTGTGTGTCTTGTAACATGCAAAATGACGAATAATTACTAGATACGAAGTAGTATATTATTGATTCAACCTGGTCTCGTTTGTAATTTAGTGATAGTGGACTACGCAGGCTGTAGCTACCGGCCTCTATTAAATAATCTGCTAAATGACCTGCTGTCTTGGAATAAACCCTGACTGTTGTTTGCAGGCTGGTAAAAAAAAATACATAATGCACGATCCCACCATTTTGGATGAAATGTCTCAGAGATATCACCCCAGTGTTTTTCTTTTTAAATGTATTTTAAATTGACAGACCTTCATCCATGCAGTCAATCTTGCACTTATTTGCGCTTTAATCAGTCAGTTAATCCAGACTCTGCAATAATCAATCCTCCTTATAGAATAGAGTTTAACTAGCAATTAAACCATGATTGGTTTTTCTTTGTGTTCTTTTGATTTGTCAATTAATTAATTACCTGAAGAAGTAAAAGTATAGATCCAGATCACCAGAGCCTGAAGAGAGATGTTCCTTATTTAACCAGATCAAGGATCAGTCATCTTTAATATTAAAATGGTAGACATTCAGCTCTTTGTCTGTTTGTAAGGCTTTAACCACCAGGTGTCTGCTTTTAATGCACAGCTCTCATATTTTACTGATTAATTTGTTGACAGCTCAGTTAAGTCTTCATAGTTGGCATGGGAAATTTGATTTAGCAGCAGAACAAAAACAGATGCATCAAAACAGACTCATCCCCTCTGTAAACATAATGAAAACCATCAATTACATAGAGTGACGTCCAATAGCAGTAATAACAATAAGTGACAGCAATGAGTAAAAGGAGAGCAGAAAACTGGGTGAACCAAGAAATAGGGAGTTTAAAAGCGGTTCAGTGTGATTCATAATACCAAGAAAAGGGCAAGATCATTAGGCAAAAGCAGCCTAAGTATAATCTGAGTTTGATGTGAGTCTTCTGGGGAAAAATATATGAGAAGTTAGAGGCTAATTGTGTTTATATACAGTCAGAGGTTAACTTACTGGCTTCATTGTGCATTCATATCTTTTTAATAATATAATATTCCTATACAGTGGGGTTTATGGTACTGCTGGGGTACTCGCATTGCACACATTAAAGTATTATCTTAGGGATTAGAGTAGTTGTTGCTGTGGGGATGCTTCTGAAGTTGTTACAGCGAAATGGGAGTGTTATTATATTGTTGATATATTTGTTTCAAGAACTCTGCCTGGGAGAGAGAAATAAAAACAACTTAATTTTTCTTCCATGTGAACTTGCCAGAAGAAGCAGTGCGTGGGACTTGGGTGTCATTACAGAGAAAGCGCCACCAACCTGTCTGCCTAGAAGCAAATGCAGAGCTGACAATTGTGCTATTGATTGCTGCAACTGAGAGAGAGGAAGAGGAGGAAGACACAGCCAAAGAGTGAAAGAGAGAGAGAGAACTTGTCCTTTCCGGATGTGAGGTTTTTTTTTTTTTGGTCACAGAGATCATTGTTTTGGAGAAGCCTCTCAAGGGAAAGTAGCAAATATAATGGGTGAGCTGTCATCAGCCCAGGTGACCAAGTGCACCTGAGCGTAACTCCTGCGACACACACTTTGGGCATTCACTGCACAGTAAAAAAAAAAAACAAATCTACTGTGTTTGTGACTTCAGCAAAGAGGAAAGAAAATCGTGACTGAATCCCTCCAATTTTTTTTTCTGGATTATTTTTACCCAGAGTTTTCTTTTTCTATCTTTTGTTGTCTTACCTGGAAGAGAACAACAAGTGCAAGGGGGACAAATGACGGTTTGTGGATGTGGGACTTACTGAGCTGTTGATTATAGCACAGAAGAAGGCCGCTGGAGCTCAACGCGTCTGTGTGCAGGAATGCTGACTCCCATATGGACGCAGACCATTCAGGTTTGTGTCAACAGTTCATGTGGTATGAGTGTGTCTGATCATCCTAACTTGGCTGTGCTCTGTTAACAGCATCTTTTGTAAAAAAAAAAAAAATACAAATACAATGGAGTTGTAACACATGTGTTTTCAGCTCAGACAAAATTATTTATTATCACAAAATTACAATCTTAACTATTATTGAACTTTTTCCTGCAAAGTTCTGCAAAGACTCTTAAATACCGAACAATGGAGATAGAGTAAGATTATTTCCAGCCATATGGATATATAACATCCAGCTAACGTTTGCAGACTATCTGGAGAGCAGATGTTTGTGAAAGCTGCTGGATTTAGTACCTTATTGCCCCATAGTAGTATCATGGTGAGACGTTGTGGTGAAGAGGCATGCTGATGTCTTGAACACAGTGTCCCAGGACCTTTACTGTTCACTCCCCCATTTTTTTATTTTTTTATCCCTTTCTGCTGTAAGAACTCGCATGAGAATTTGAGAGGGGGAAAAAAAAGTGCAGTACGGCTCTTCTACTCTCGACTAACTGCATGCGTTCCTCATCAAATCACAAGTCAGCCTTACTGCAGTGTTACAGCAATCTGCCTCTTTCTCCTTTCTTTTTTGTGATTTCCTTCAGCGAGTTAATTATTCTCTGGCATGATTTTATTGTCATTGCTAATTATGTTGAAATGAGAAACTGCCTCGTCTTACATCCTGGAGGAAGCATTAGGAACGGAGAGATAAGAGCTCAGGAGAGAGGTAAAAAATGTTTATTGTTTTGCATACAGCAACTCTCCAAAGTGTAGTGTTCCCAGGTATTAACCGCCACTCACATTCACATTCATTCATTCATTGTGCTACAAAACGCCACGCGGATAACGAATAGATTACATGGTTAAGATTGTGTATATTTAATAAAGTGCTAAGCTATGCCTTTTGGCTGAGGCAAAAAAAAGGTGAAAAGACACCCGTCATAGAAGTATTCAACATACCGGTAGCTTTTCTTTTTCTCACTTCCTTGCTGCTTCAACTAGTAGTTTAAAGGCGAGAGTTCACAGGAATGTGAGTCATGTTGCTGTCAACAGGATATTAACATAATTGTTGCATAATGAAACCGACTTGTTGTATTTGTTCGACTAAGCTCAAACAGGGCATATATTCCTCAATTCCTATGTAAGGGGAAGGGGGGAAATTTAGAAACATTCCTATTCTTTGCTCTCTGTGCAGAGTATCTCCAGTTGAATCTTATTTGCATAACATTTTCATATCAAATTGATGTTTGTACCTGCTTCAAATTTTATGGAGCACTTCCCTGAAGAGCTGAAGCACTGTTGTCTGTCAGTAATAAAGGTAGAGAAGGAGGAAAAACCTGAATAATTCATAATAGGGTGGGGCGATATGGCTGAAATCACTATAAAAATATTAATAATATTTTATAATACAGAACTTTGTCCCACTGTTTTGCATTACATCAGATTAAACTCTTATTTGTCAAACAAAGACATCAATAACTTATTATATTCAGTCATATTCATATTCATAGTCAGTATACTTTTAATATGGAATTATCCCACAGCCCTTTAAGGCCACAGCTTTCTTTACCCTGATACTACCGATCCACGTGTCAAATAATTTTCTCTCCTTCTCTTGAACCCTCTAGCGTTGTGTCTGAGCGGCTGAGCCTGTGAAGGCCCCCAGAGACGGCCATGTTGGATCTCTTCCTTAGAGTGCTGGTGTTGACCCGTCTTCACCCGTCACCTCACAGCACCTTGCTGCCAACCTAACTCCTCGCTCCCTCTCTCTTCCCCGCAATCTCTTTTCTTCCACCGCCTGGCCGGGAGAAAGGTAAACGTGGCGCATTCTGCAGGTTGCTTTTCTTAACCCAGTTTCAATTAGTTAGTTGGACTGACAGTTGTTATTTTGATGAGACTGTAATGGTTGATGGGAGAGGTTTAAAAACTGAATGTTTAAGGAGGATCTATTGGCAGAAATGGAAAATAATATTCAATTTGCCATTTTGAACAGCCATGTTTCTACAGTAGCCCATAAGGGACACACTAAACACGTTTCTTACATCCTACACACTGGAACTTTTAATGAAATAAGAAATTAACTTTAAATATATATTTATTTTCTTGTACAGTCTCTGTATGACTCTGAAAGCTGTTTGGAACTAATG